TCTGTCTCTCTCTCTCTCGCTCTCCCTACCGTTAGGTAACTTGTGCATTGTTTTACTTACTTGTTTTTGACATATCCGACTGAACTACAAACTTTCCAGTGATGTCTGTGAGAAAGATATATTCACTCGACAAGCTCGCGCATCTGCGCCGCCGCGCGCTCAATCCACTCAGCGTGCTTTGTTAATCAGCTCGCTCACATCAGCTATACAGGCGTTAATACTGAATGTTTAACATTTATATTCATTGCATGCATACATATACTTCGTAGTAGACACCCTTAACTCCTTTCTGCTGTCTGTTGTTCTGTTGTCTGTGTTTCTTTGTCTGAATATGGCACTTATCACATGCTGTGTGGTATCGGTGTTTGGTATCGGGGCATTTTAACGAGTACGAGTACGAGTACAGGAGCTCGGTATCGGTGCATCCCTACTAAATATAAACCTTAAGTTAGAAAACTAGAAAAAGGAGCTTTTTTCATTTTTATGCTATATTTATTTGTGGTGTCATCCATGTAGTCTGTTTCAGTGTTATTGTATTGTTGTTTTTATTTCTATATTTTTAGTTTTTATATTTATATTTTTTTGTTTATTTTTTTAGTAAGTTAAATACTTTGCTTTTGACATTTTCATTAGATTTTGTATATATATTATAATTTATTTTTGTTTTTATTTCAGTTTTAATTTTTATTTACGTTTAGTAATTTTAGTACTTAAAATTATTTCACATAATTGCCAAGGACACATTTCAGATTTAAAAAAAATATATTTTCAGTTTTCATTTTAATTTTTTTTGTTTTAGTAAAATTAGTTTATTAAAAGGAGTTAGCTTTTTGTTCATTTCCAGTTTGTAATTTTTTATATTACTATTTAGGCTGAATTTATTTGCATTTTATTTTTATTTTTATTTTTATTTCCGTTTTCATTTTTTATTTATTTTCAGCACATAATTTTTGTACTTTAACTTAAACATATTCCAACACATTTGAAATTTTTTTTTGATTTGTTTAATTTTTTGTCAAATTATTTGTGCTTTTGTTTTTTGTAATATTAATTTTTTTTTTTAAATATTACAATTTAGAATTCATTTATTTTATTTTTATTTTTTACTTCTTATTTATATATGTTTCTAATAGTCTATAATGACCTGCATTTGTTTATATTTGTACTAATTCATGCTGTCCTTTGTGGTCTTTTTATTTTAGTATTATTTTAGTATTATTTATATACTATTATATTTTTTATTTTAGTTTATGGTCTTTGGCATTTTTATTATCTAAAATTCATTTGTTAAATTTTTTCAGCTTTATTTCAAGTAGCACAAATGTTTGTAATAGTTCGTCTGTTTGTCTGTATCTGTACATCTGGTGCAGGTACGGGGTCAGTGAGACACCCGAGAGGTCAAGAGGTCACGCCCTCATCAGTGCACATCCTGTGGAAATGGGGCAGAGGATGTCATTAAGACAGATTACTCTTGCGCATATGCTGGACTCGTTTACTCACACCGTTTTAGTAGCAGCTCACTGATGGGCTTGCATTAACTATAAGTGCTTTGGCTAAATTAGGTTGTTTGCTGGATAATTTTAGTTCAGGAAGCCCACAGATCTGTTCACTTACCATTACAAACCACGTTTAACCAGCAGTTTCCCACAAGCAATTTATGCAAAGCAGCGAGTCTTCAGTTTCCCATGCTGCATAGCTGCATAGTTTATTCTAATGTAAGCAAAATATCATTGACATTTACTGGATTGGCAGCAGAGAAGTCGTCTGGCATGTTTATCTTTGGTTATGTGGTTGTTAAGGTTTCCAGTGGAGCGTTTTGCAGGAAAACTCCGGATGATTTATGTGTTTGAAGAAAAAAAAAGATTGTATGGGGAGTAGAGATGCTCCAACCCGGGATAAAAACAGATCAGCATTGAAAATTTCTTTCCCAGAGTGAAACAAACAGGTGCAATTTGTGTCGATCCAGTTGCTGATCCAACTTTTGAGATTTATTTGTGTTGTTTTGACTTGCTTTCATTTTACAGGGTAAAAAAAACTAGGAAATCATTGGCTAGCATTATAATTTTTTTTCCAAAAAAGGTACTGTATTTAGGTATGAACATGGTAAATGTTCAAAAAAATGACTTTGGAGTACTTTTTTGTATTGAATCATATAAACCCTATATAATATACATTTTGTGCCTCATATACACTGTAATAATGGTTTTTGAAGTGGCAGCTGAAGTTGAAGGGCTAAAATTACTAGCTGGAAAAAAATAAAACTGAAATAAAAATAAATTAAATCTAAATAGTAGGCCTAATAAAAAAAAGGAAAATGAGAAAACAAACCAAATTAAATTACTAAAAGTTAAAAAACAACAACTGGAAATCTAATGTATATTGTATGTATATTGCATGTATGTATATATATACATTCATACATATATACATATGAAATAATTATTTTTTTTTAATTAATATTTTTAATGAGTTATTTCTTTAAATAATTTCAAAATAAGATAAAATTAATTCAGCATTTTTAAGAGTTCAAAATATTAATAAAAATAGTATATAAATAATATTAAAAACATTTAGACTGAGACAAAAAAAATCAAGTTATTTAATATATATAAAAATAAAATTTCTATAATTTCTTGATATAATTTCTATTAATTATATCAAAAATAAATAATAAATTAATTCCGCTTTTTTCTAGTTTTCTGTGATTTATATTTAGCCTAATTATGGATGTCCTTGGTTTAGCCTTGGTTAGTTTTAAAAATAAATATTTGAAATAAAAATGAATTATCCTACATAATCATGTGATCATTGACATGCTTTGTTTTATGGTAAAGTGCAATAAACCCTTTAAATTTTTTTGTATCCCAGTATGTCATTATTGAGGTTGTGTTAGCTCTCATCTCCTGGGTGGGAGTGAATTGTGTGCCGTCCCGTCATGTTAAACGACTTCCTTTATCCCAGATAACACGAGGAAGACGATAAGATCGCTGATACACACAAGAACAAGGCCTCTTTAGTGTCACTCCGCGTCTGCGACGATCCTTCACCCCGTGACTTTTCTCTTGAAATATGTTTGCTTTATTTGATAATCCCTATTTCATATATCTTCCTTTTTGTTTTTCCACATCCGCCCTGATCTGGCCCGCTGATTACAGAGCTGGCGAGTCTCGTGCAGTGTCTGTCTGCTTCTGTCACGCAACACTATTTGTTTTGACTGCTTTTGATACACCTTGAAGCGCTGCTCTGGAGTCAGACGTAACCCTTCATTATCTCACCTGAGATACACACAGTGTTGTGTGTTACTGAAGGGTTATATTAGTGTTGTTGAGTGCCAGGAGTCTCATAATTGTGGGATTGTGTGCTTCGGCTGTCACCACATGAACTGCTGCTGGTTTTCAAGGCTTGAGCTCACATTCCTGTTACACAAGTTGCTGTTTGTCTCTGGGACGCACGCCCCTAACGCTGCCATTACAGTCAGCTTCAGATGTTATATTCATGTGGAAGTGATGGTTATGCAATAAAGCATTTTCTGATGTTTCATGTTCTGTTTCTCTGCAGGGAACGCAGTTGTCCAGCGCCGACGAGAGCGGCCGCAAACTCGGAGTCGCGTTTCGATACGACAGTAAGACACTTTATAATCAGACCTGTCTATAATTATACAGTTCGTGGGTGGATCTGATGAAAACATGCCTCATTGCAACAAATCCAAAATCAACAGATTTCTGAACTCTTATTTTGCATAAAGAAAAAAAAAGTTTATTTTGACACCATAAATTCTTTGTTGTGACATTAATTTATAATTATCATTACTGTAATGCATCTGGATGTTTTCCTTCTCAAATCACAAAATAAACTCCTATTATAAAAATTCAAAATATTATTTTTCCAATTTCTGTTCTTGATAATTTTCATTGGATAATCTATACTATATTATTAAAACATTATTAATAAATTATGATATTTTTATATTTATATAAAATAATTGATTTGTTAGCAACGATTTAATTCGATTTTTTTGTAATGAAATGAAATTATATAAATATATACATTTTCTGCCCAATATCTTAAATTATGTGATAATTTTAAATCCATTTTAATAGACTGATTCATGCAGTGAAAGAACGCACTCTAAATGATGATATTTTTTTATATAAAATAATTGATTTGTTAGCAACGATTTAATTCGATTTTTTTGTAATGAAATGAAATTATATAAATATATACATTTTCTGCCCAATATCTTAAATTATGTGATAATTTTAAATCCATTTTAATTAATAG